GTGGTTGTTTGTTGCCTTCTAAGTCAAGAGAACAAAATTGAATAAAGTGAATGTTAGTTGTAGCCTAGTTTTTTTGTTTTTTTTCATTGTAAGATTGCCTCAGAATTACAGAAATGTGCGTTATTAATCGGCATAGATGGTCTAGGTATTTTTTAATATAATACATAGAAAAAGAAGTTACATGTGATTATAGTTCCTCTCTTCTGTTCTAAGTTCTAAAGTAGAGTTGCAGAGAACACATCCCTTCCCCTTTGCCCCCTCACCGTACTAATAGACCACCATCACGGGGAATGGTGAAGGCCCTCTTCTTGAGCTGCAGGCAGGATGCTACCCACTTCCGCACCTGTTTACAGGATCCACGTGCCAAAGCCTCACCAGGTTTTCTCTTTAAGTGGATACTTGGAATGGAGTAAAACCCAAGTCCATTTTATGTAGTTGACTGTAAATCTCAGAAAAAGGAAAGAATTGCATGAAGCCCCATGTGAACAGATCCTTTTGATTCTAGGTTCAAAACTTTATTAAAATTTCTTTTTAATCAAGTGCATTCTTTTAAAGATTTTATTCATTTGAGAGAGAGAGAGAGCACAAGAGGGGGGAGGGTCAGAGGGAGAAGCAGACTCCTCGCGGAGCAGGGAGCCTGATGTGGGACTCGATCCCGGGACTCCGGGATCGTGATCTGAGCCGAAGGCAGTTGCTTAACCAACTGAGCCACCCAGGCGCCCTAATCAAGTACATTTTTATTTTCAACGCAGCAGTGGTAGGAGAAATGCTCTTTGAACCACAGGACATCTGTAATCTGTGAGGTTGAAGTTTCACAGCAAAGGAAATTGCATGGTGGATCTCAGAAAGTGGCCAGTAATGCCCCTCATACCCCGCGGTGTACAGCCACTCTTGTTGCCAACAGAACACTGATAGCATAAGTGGATTAAGGTCTGAGGAGGTAACTCTCTCCCCTCCTACTCCCACAGTGTTCTGGCTTTGGTGTCTGTTTTCTTTCCCACACTGTACTGAGCACTACAGTTGAATCGCCATATGGTGTCTGCCTTCAAGGAGCCCCTTAGAGTGGAAAAGGGGCAGAAAAACGAGAAGGTTCTAGTCCACGTATGACTAGCATGCCCTGAGGAATGCAGAGCAGGGTCCCCCTGGGCACTCTGTACTGTGCTCGGCCGTGCCCCAGGCCTGCTCCAGCCTCCTGTGGCGTGTTTCACTCAGCGACAGCCAGGAACCTGGGGAGAGCAAGTCCCCTTTACAGTGCTTTATACGGTTTAATCTTTTTGAAATTTTTCTTTTTACATATGAAAGCAAAGGTATAACTACTTTGGGAAATAGTTGGGCGGTTCTGTAAACATTAAAATAAGTACTTAGCACTCCTAGTTATTGACCAAGCAAAAAGTAAGTCCATATGATGACTCATACATGAACATTTCTAGTAGCTTTATTTGTAATAGCTCAAGGCTGGAAACAGGCTTGGAAATCCATAGGCCTATCAACAGGTAAATAGATAAGTGATCATCCAGGCAATGAGATACCGCTCAGCAATTAAAAAAGCAATTAATTTGATATATACAGCATGGACAAGTCTCAATGCTAAGTGAAAGCAGAACTACAGATCGGTGGGGAGGGGCTTGGAGGTACTTCAAAGGGACATCAAGAAATGGGATGATGTGTTTGTTATCTTGATGTGCTTCTGGTTTGATATGTATACATACGCTAAAACTTAAATTGTACATTTTAAATTTGTGCGATTCATTGCATGTTAATTACATCTCAGTCTCAAAAAGTAATAACCAGCGTTGGTAATATGTTCTCTAAGGGGTCATTTCGTACCTTTCTTCAAAGTGCCCTCTCTCTTTTGGCTATGACTTTTCTGTTTCACCAAGAAGACAAAAGCAATCAGAACAAGTCTTCACACCTTCACATTGTCAATTCACCGTCTGACCTGCACCTGTGCCCATATGCTCACCAGGCTGTGCAGGCCACGCACGTCTCCTCCAGCGTGCATGCCCCGTATGCACGCTGCCCCCGGGCCCACGTGCAATCCCTGGGTTCCCCCACCCTGCACAGGCTCACTAGACCACAGTACTCACCTGCTCAAGGCACTGCTCTGCCATTCTCCCTCTCCCTCGTAAGTGGTGTTGGGTCATTCCCAGGATTCAGATGTTGTATCATCTCTTCCACAAGAAAAATCTCCACCCCACTAACTCCTTCAACTGCTCCATTTCACGTTCCTTTCCAGCAAAGCCCTTCAAACAGTTATCTGTACTCACTCTTTCCAATTTTTCCTCTCCTTTTCCAGCCCTGCTACAATCAGATGTTTGCTCCACTTTTCCACTGGAATTGCTCCTGTAAAGGTCACGAATGGCCACCACTAAATGATGTGGTTCCTTCTCAGCTCTCACCTGAAATGGTTCCTCTTTCCAGTGAAACCCATTTTCCTGGTTGTCAGGACAAAGCCTTCCCCCTCATTTTCCTCCTTCCTGTTTGGATTCTTCTTTCTAAACTCCCTCACTGACCCGATCCTGTCAGCCCAGCTGGGACCTCAGTTCTACTACGTGCGTTGACTTGGTGGTCTCACTCACTCTCAGGGTTTTAAAGACCATCTATATGTGGATCACTCACATATTTATTTACTCCAGACATGTCTGTGCACCTGTCTATGTGGACTCTACCAGACATCTCAAACTTAGCTCCAAAACACAACTCATGATGCCCCTACCCCAAATCTGTTTTCTCAAAACGTCCCCATTTCAGTTGGTAAGCAATTGGATGAAGTCGCCAAACAAAAAATGTTGGTAATAACCTTTGACACTTGTTTCTCTCCCAACCTTCACACACAATTGGACAGCAAGTCTTCAAAAATGAATCAGATTCTGGCTACATTGCACCACCTCTGCTGCTGCCATCCTGGTACAGAGCACCATCATCTTCTCCTGCCCGGGTCACTGCAGTTTCTCCTGAGCTCCCGGCCTCTGCCCACACTCTCTTGTCTCTCTTCCAGTTATTTTCAACACGGGATCCAGAATGATCATGTTCAGATCTAAGATCACATTAGTCCTCTACTCAGAGAGCTAACTATCACACTCAGAGTCCCAAGTTCACAGTTGCCTTAAGGCCCCCTGTGCTCCTGGCAGCCTCCTTGCTTCCAGAACAGGTCAAACCTCAGGGCCTTTGCACTTGCTGCTTGCTGTGCCTTAATGTTCTTCATCTAGGCTCTCCCCAAGCTCTTCATTTTTTACTGAAGTGTCATTCCTTAAAATTGCAGCTACTGGGGGCATTCCTGACTCTTCTGCTGTGTTTTTTTCTCTCATATGTATTAACACATCACATGGTTTTCCTGTCTTATTTATATTTGTATGTTTTCCCCCACTTGAATGTAAGCTTCAGAGGTTTTTTTTTTTAACTATTTGGGGATTACTACTATATTTCAGAACAGTTCTTGGGACATATTTAGCATTCAATACTCTTGAGTAAATAAATGGATGAATCAGAATCAAAATAATGTGTATATGGTTAAAATAAAACTTGAAAGCTGTGTGCCATTTTTCAGAGGTAACCCCTATCAGGAGTTTAGTGTTTGCTTCCAGAATGTGCTATGGGCAAATGTACATTCGACTCCTATTATCACAGGCTCTGCTCTATGGGGTGCTTTTTTTTGCTTTATATTTCATGAACATCTTTTTATGTCAATACTTAAGTAGCTACCTCATTTTAAAATTCTGGCTGAATTGTATTCTGTTGTGTGGATAAGATTATGATTTAAGTTTTCTAAAAGACAATTAGTTTACCCATTTTACTGTGTGCTTTAGTAAACATTTTTGTCCACATTACTTTATATACTCAGGCTAGTATTTCTGCAGGATAAATCTGTCGATTGCTAAGTCTTCAAAATATAGTGCCAAATGGCCCCCAAAATGTACTAATTAATACTCTCTCTCATCACTGTATGAGATTCCTTGTTTTCCCATATTGTATCAACATTAAATAGTGACTGTTCTCAGTTTTTGCTAGTGCTGTTAATTTGGAAGTGCTGTTAATTTGGAGTCATGGTTGGCGGTGATGCCTCTAGGGCAGGAGGAAGGGCTTGTCATTGACTCCTCCTGGCAATAGCTCATTCTAGTTCATCTCCCTGGCTGGAGGTGAGCAGAGGAAGGCGGGCTTTAGGGCTTCATTCATTCAGAGTGGGTTTGAGGGCAGCCACAGCTATGATTCACACCTTGTACGCTGCCCTGGATTCACCAGAACGGAGCAGTTCTCCTACCCTTCGACCCAAAGCTACTGCATCAGAAGACGCAGCTTATGTTTTCTAGACCCAATCAGGCTCAACCATTCTGTCTTGCTTAGGAAAACAAGTTAAACAGAATCTTCCTTGAGCTGAAAATCGCCCACTGTCTAAACTCTTGAGGGGCTCTTATATCGGAAGAACGAGTGGGCAATGAGAACAGCACGTGTGAAGGTCTGGAGACCGGGACGGTTTCCTGCATAGACGGGCTCGTGCAGCAAGAGCGAGGCCTTGGAGGAAGGAGGGCCAGGGTCCTTCCTGCGGGGCTGGGGGGGTGGGGGGGTGGGCGGAGCTCGGGGGCGGGGCTCGTGCTACCTGCACCGACCAGCCCCCATGATTGTAACGGCTTCCTACTGAGGACGACCGAGTCATCTCGTCCTTAAACTTCACGTAGCCAGAGCAAGGGGAAGTGGGGGGTGGGGGTCCTTCGTGAATTCGCCCTTCACATTTGGCAGTGGGAAATCGATCAAAAGGTCCTTTTCTAGGTGAAACATTCAGCTCCTGCCGCCCTTAACTGCCGGTTAGTGGCAAAAAGGGGCCGGAGCCTCACTGCGCAAGCGCTGTCTCCCAGGCCCGCGCCTGCCACAGCCCGGCCTCGGCCCGAGGCGTGTGCGCCTGCGCGGAGCCAAGGGGCGGGGCCATCAGGCGTCCCGGTTGCTCGGATACCTCTATGAAACAATTGCTGCCGCTGGCGCTTCCCGGCTGTCGCTAGAAGGGGCAGTAGGCCTTCACTTTCCGAAGAGCCCGAGGAGGAGCGGGTGAGTGCCCCGGCCGGCCGCCCGGACCTCGCGAAGCCAGCCTCTTGGCCCGCCCCCAAGCCCGGCCCGGCCACAGACCCCGGTCCCCCATCCAGGCTCCAAATCCGGGGGAGGCCGGGCGGCCCGGCCCTTCGGGGGCGCCCGCGCCCCGAGGCTCACGGGCCCGTCCTCCCCCTCCACGCAGCACACCTTGATTCTTCCCAGCCTGGTCCCGGTCTGCGGAGAGCGATGCCGCTTCCCGATACCATGTTCTGCGCGCAGCAGATCCACATTCCCTCGGAACTGCCGGACATCCTGAAGCAGTTCACCAAGGCTGCGATCCGCACCCAGCCCGCCGACGTGCTGCAGTGGTCCGCGGGGTAAGCGCCTGGGATGGCCGGCTGGTCCGCGAGACGGCTCGCGCCTCGTGCCCTCACACCTGCAGCACTGCTCCGACGCATTGGTGGTGTCTGCGCCTGAGTAGCTATCTAGGAAGCATCATGGTTGATTGACCTTCCCAGGAATTACTGCAAAATGTTCACTTTCCCACAAAGTAATGACAGCTCCATCGTTGGAGAGTGGTACTTACTCGGACTAACACTTACAAAGCAATTGCATTGGGCAAAAAGTTTCTGCATTGTGTTATGAAATCAAACTACTACAGTCCCTTTATTTGTAAAATGATTTTAATAAGGAATCTTGTGAGGCTAAATTCCTCATCCTAGAGAATCCTCCCAGGGTTCAGTATCTGGTTGAGTTTATTAGAACCAAAGCGACGGAGGTCATATTGGGTCATATTCCAAGGCCGCTATGAGGTTAAACTTTGCCCAGCTTAGTTCACTGAAGGCAAATGAGCCTTCACTGTTTCTAGCAACAAACATCCTATTTTCAGGAACAGACATTCATAATTTTAAGGTTACAAAGTTAACAGACTTTAGAACCATTAAAATAAACCCATTTCGGTTTTTTTTTTTTAAGAAAAGTTTTTATTTGGGGGGTGGGGGGATGGGTTAGCCTGGTGATGGGTATTAAAGAGGGCACATTCTGCGTGGAGCACTGGGTGTTATGCACCAACAATGAATCATGGAACACTGCATCAAAAACTAATGATGTAATGTATGGTGGTTAACATAACAATAAAAAAATTATTAAAAAAAAAAGAAAAGTTTTTATTTATTTGAGAGAGAGTGAGAGAGAGAGAGCCCAAGAGGGGGTAGGGTCAGAGGGAGAAGCAGACTCCCTGCTGAGCAGGGAGCCCATGTGGGACTCGATCCCGGGACTCCAGGATCGTGACCTGAGCCGAAGGCAGTCGCTTAACCAACTGAACCACCCAGGCGCCCAAGCCATTTCATTTTGAAAGGAAAGCTCTTCGTCCCTTTTCAGTAGACAGAGTTAGCAACTCAATTTTATGATCACAAGAACCAGTATAAAATTAAATGTTTTGGGACACCTGGGTGGCTCAGTCGGTTAAGCGTCTGCCTTCAGCTCAGGTCACGATCCCAGGGTCCTGGATCCAGCCCCACATCAGGCTCCCTGCTCAGCAGGGAGCCTGCTTCTCCCTCTCCTTCTGCCTGGCGCTTCCCCTGCTTGTGCACACACACTCTCTGTCAAATAAATAAATAAAATCTTTAAAAAATTAAATGTTTTAGTAACTACCATGTCAGATTTCACTGACCTCTAAACTGTATAACCAAGGTGAATTAGTTTCCTGTGGCAACTATAACCACCACAGAATTTGATGAATTAAAACAACAGGCATGCATTCTCTTTACAGTTCCGGAGGCCAAAAGTCCAAAACCAGTTTCACCTAGTTAAAGTCGAGTTGTCAGGCCTTCTCTCCAGAGGCTCTAGGGAGACTTCAATCCCTTGCTTGTCTTTTCCAGCTTTCGGAGCTGCATTCCTTGTATTCTTTGGCTCGTGTTCCCTTGCTCCGTCTTTAAGGCCAGTACTGTGGCATCTTCAAGTCTCTCTCTCTCTGCCTCTCTCTTCCAAGGACACTTGTGATTGCATTTAGGACCCATCAGGATAATTGAGGATAATTTTCCCATCTCAGAATCCTCTCTCCCTCTACAAAGTCCCTGACACCATGCAAAATAAGATCCAAAGATTCCAGGATTAGGACCTGGGTGTCTTTGGGGCCCTTACTGAACCCACCACACAAGGCTACCTATTAATCCAGTGCTTTGTCTTGGGACAGACACTTCTGTCAGTTGCTTCTGAAAGATTCTCTCAAGGTTCTTGCCAAAAAAAATTACAGCCTCTGTTTTTAACCATCATCCAAGCATCAATAAAAGATGGGACACACAAGAGTTTATTTGTAGTCAACAGGACATTCCAAGATTGAATCATTTTTTTTCCTTGGGACATTAAATTTAAAACGTGTAACTGAGCACTTTCTGGATGTTCCATGCACTTAATTTCTCTCAAGAACAATTTTGGGGTTTAGGAGAAAAAGCAAGCTTTATTCACTAAGCAGTGTGTGTGAAATGGGCTCGGATGTGTCCCAGCTGTCAGAAAGGAGAATCTGTCAGGGAGGGATGTTGCTCAGAAGAGGGCAAATTGGTCTTTGAGGTTAAGACAAGGCAAGGGCATTCCGGGAAGAAGAGTAGCATACCAGCAAAGGGGCGGTGACAAGAAGAAGAGAAAAAAAAGCTAAAGACAAAGCAGAGAACCAGGAATCACAGGAAAGTACCTGCTGTGGAAGACGGCTGGAGGCATTCAGGTAAACCTCTTCACAGAGGAGGCTTTCAGCCTCGCTAGTCATGCCGCAGTTAGGTTCTGTCACCGGTGCTTCATGCAGTGTGACTGGAGTGAGAACTGGTCCCCTGCTGAAGGCTGCTTTCGGCTCCCACGTGCCTCCAGGGAATTAGCATCAGGGGGCTCGCCCCTAATGCGGGCTTTCTCAGCCTTGGCACTGTTGATACTTTGGACAGGATAATTGCTTGGGGGGGTGTATGGGGGGAAGGTGGGAGTGTGGGGGTGTCTGGGCGTAATAGGACCCTTAGCAGCATCCTGACCTGTACCCACTAGAGGCACCATCCATCCCCTCTGGTGACAACCAAAAATGTCTCCAGAAATTGCCAGTGCCTTCCTGGGGAGGGGGGCAGGAGAATTGTTGGGAACCACTGCTTTAGACTCTGTGGCTTGATCGTTGAGGGGGAGGAAGGAATAAAGTCCCCGGAATAAGTGAAAACCCTAATTAGGAACAGTATGGCAAAACTATGCCCCCATGCCCCCTCCCTGTCACCTTAGATCTTTCTGTTCACCTTCGTCTCCCACATTGCTGCCCTTGTTTTGACTTTCCCTCAAACTGTTAAGTCAACAAAATATGGATGGGGAGAGAAAAGGGGATGAGGTATAACATTTCTTTTAGCCTGTCAAGTATCTATTTATCAACAGCTATCTTTGTTACATAATCAGAGATGTTTCTAATATTATTCATATCTTTTACATGATGCCCTGTGGCCCTGGTGGATGATTTACTATTCGTTTTCCTGAGTGTATTGTTTCTTTTTTGTTGTGTTAGTCATTGGAGTGGCGAATGACGTGGCTTCAGCAGCCGGCCACCTCTAGCACGCCCGGCACCCTCTCCTGGTCCCCGCCAGCCAGAAGCCGGTGTGTGCCCCCTCCTGACTTGTTGCTCTAAACTGTTCCCATACCCCCCAACCCCCAATATAAGCACTAATATCTGCATCCCAGAAAGGAACAATTAAGGGGAAAAAACACTAAAGAAAATTACTAAAAAAAAAAAATACTAAAGAAAATACCAGGCAGGAAAAGTGAAGGATGCGGGGGGAGGTGTGGCATCTGACGTCGCGGAGCGGAGTAGTTGGTCCCCAGCAGAGCAGACAGGTGACTTCCCTGATCCTGGACCCTGCAGGGTTGAACAGAGATGGTTGAAGTCAACCCCCTTGGAAAGCAGTAGGGCCAAGTGAAGGGAAGACCAAACACTAACTGTCAAAGTAGAATGACTGGACCATGACCTTGCCCTTGGGTCACTGGGTTCTGAATCTCCCACCTCCTTTGGCAACAGGCCAGGACCCCTCCTAGCGTGTGCTTGATAAGAATAGCACATGTTTCAGGAGGCCCCTGATGGCCTGGTGGCCGAGCAGCATGTCCAGCCTGTTGCAGCTTGAGCTCACTGCTCCTAGGAGCCCTATGACAGGGCCTGCCATTGTTGGCTCTGCAGACAGAGAAACTGAGGCATGCAGAGAGGGTTACGTTGGGGAGCGGAGTGGAGGAGCCAGGACTGCAGCCCCGCCCTCGGACTCTGGTGTCCCTGGAGGTGTCCTGGGCATTGTCACGCTCACGGCTTGTTTAAGAAACCGCGTGAATTCCAGTGTTTTCTGGGTACTGATGAGCCTTCAAAGATGTCTGTTGCTGTTAGGTATTTTTCAGCTCTGTCCAGAGGAGATCCACTTCCTGTCAAGGACAGAATCGAGATGCCCGTGGCCACTCAGAAAACAGACACAGGCCTGACTCAAGGACTCCTGAAAGTTTTGCACAAGCAGGTAGGAGGGGGTCTCTGTTCTCCGTCAGCTTCACAAGATACAGCGTGGCCACCGCCATGGCACATGGCAGACTCGCCGGCTCAGCTTTGCAAGGCCAGCTTTCCCGGTGCACACCTGCCAGATTTCTTCAGAGGAGGAATCTGCTGTGTTCAGTAAAATAACCTTTTTCTAGTTTAAAGAACCCAAAATAGCTATTCGTGATTAGATGGTAGGCAAATGAAATAGAATTGCTTTTAAATACCAAATTAAAACACTAGATGCTGCTGGACTAAAAGTCTGGAATTCAACTCCCAAACGGGGGCTGCAAGTCTCTTCTTGAAATATGCTTATAAAAATTGTGTACGTGCTAAAGAAATAATCTGCTGCCGCCTTCCTCTGAATGACAGAATGCCCTTTGGCCTCTGGTGTGCAGTGTGGTCCAGAGAGCCTGGGTGGGGGCGAGATCCTTCCTGGCACGGCCTTGCCCGAGAACCGAGGGCCGTCCTCACCCGCCCCACCACCTTGCTTTTAGAGAAACCAGTTAATAGGGAGGGTATCACCCAGTCAGGCTTGGCATTCCTGATGACTGTGTCGTGTTGCTAAAAGTGACATCAGTGGTATAACCTTGATCTTAAAGTGATTTGTCCCCATTATACATTTTGACATACCGTGCTTCTGTGGTACATTGACTTCTGAAAATAGGATTATTCCATGGTTTTCTCTATCTTAGGGGAAAACGAATAACCATTGGAAGGGGTAACTTGGGGAAAAACACGCTAAAATTGCTCAGAAATTTTCACATAGAATGCTATTAGCAGATCACAAGCATTACCAATTTTCACAGATTATTTAAAAAACTGGAAGGAATGAATTTCTTTTCAATTTTAAGGTTTCTTCCATTTAACTGTTAACACATTTAGCGGGTTGGATTTTAAATGTTTTTATTTTATTTATTGAAGCTTATTTTTTGCTGTGAAGTGTTTTGCACAGACAAAAAGGAATCCTATACCCAGTCTGTGTATGCCCATTTTACTCAGCCGTAACATCATGCCATGTTTGCATCACAGGCCTTTCTCCTTTTGAGAAGTAAAACAGGCCAATATCAGCCTGCTGCCCCCTCCCTGCCCGCCTTCCTCCTGCCGCACACCTTCCCACCCTGCTTACCCAGGGCTAACCATGTTGTGAAACAGAGTTCATCTTTTCCCTGCATGCGGTTGGGTGCTTGGGATATGTTTAAATATTCATAAGCATTATCTTATTTCACAGGTTTCTAAAACTTAAAAAATATACTTATAGACTTAAAAACTTACAAATTTCATCATACTGTGTTTTCTCTATAGTGTAGCCACAAGCGGTATGTGGAATTAGCAGATCTTGAGCAGAAATGGAAAAATTTGTGCCTGCCAATAGAGAACTTCAGAGCGTTGTTGCAATTGGATCCTTGCGAAGACAAAATGGAGTGGATAAAATTTTTAGCACTTGGATGTAGCATGCTTGGTGGGGTACGTACCTACAAGTAGCATGTGAATAATTCTGTGCAATCAGGGGCCTGGCTTAAAAGTAATGTCGGTATTTCAGTAACCGAAAGAAACACTTTTACTACTTTAGTAACTTTGTTTGAGAGAAGCAATTCTTTTTCAAGTGCCTGTTGTATTTTTAGGCTTACATTTTTTTTTTTAAGATTTTATTTATTTATTTGAGAGAGAGAGAGCAGAAAAGCAGCAGAGGAAGGGGGAAAAGCAGGCTCCCTGCTGAGCAAAGAGCCCAATGCAGGGCTCAGTCCCAGGACCCCGGGATCATGACCTGAGCCAAAGGCAGCTGCTTAGCCAGCTGAGCCACCCAGGCGTCCTGTAGGCTTATAGTTATTTTAATTTGCAGAAGTTAAATACTTGGGAATGCTTCAATTTTAAAATTGTTAACAGTAGATAAAACATATAGATATTATGACAATGCACTTAAGTGTTAGAAGAGAATGCGTCGGTGACTTTTTATTGAACTGCACATCATTTGGTAAACAGATACTGTGTTCTCCTCATCTATGGGAAGAGGCGTAAAATTATTTTATATTTGAGTTAAAATATATGATTAGTAGCTAACAGATACGGTGCAACTTTGGCGGTGTTGAAGTACGAACCTTGGGAATGAAGACAGAGATGACCCTGCAGTTCCCAAAGTGAGGGGGGGTCTTTGAACCAAGGAGGGGTGGAAAGGGAAGGGCTGGAGTGTGAAGATTTGGCAGGACTTCTTCTTTCTTTCTTTCTTTTTTTATGATGTTCAGTTAGCCACTGTATAGCACATCATTAGTCTCCGATGTAGTGTTCAGTGATTCATTAGTTGCGTGTAACACCCAGTGCTCTTCAGCACACACGCTCTCCTCAGTGCCTATCACCCTGCTACCCCATCCCCCACCCCCCTCCCCTCTGAGACCTCGGAGTCCATAGTCCCTCGTGCTTTGTCTCCCCCTCTGATGTCTCCCCCTTCAGATTTCCCTCCCTTCCCCTATGGTCCTCCGTGCTATTGCTTCTGTTCCACCTATGATGAAACCATATGATAATTGACTTTCTCTGCTTGACTTACTTCACTTAGCATAATCCCCTCCAGTCCCATCCATGTCGATGCAAATGGTGTGTATTCATCCTTTCTGATGGCTGAGTCATATTCCACTGTTATATGGACCACATCTTTATCCATTCATCTGTTGAAGGGCATCTTGGCTCCTTCCACAGTTTGGCTACTGTGGACATTGCTGCTATGAACATTGGGGTGCAGGTGCCTCTTCTTTTCACTACATCTGCATCTTTGGGGCAAATACCTAGTAGTGCAATCACTGGGTCATAGGGTAGTTGTATTTTTAACATCTTGAGGAACCTCCATACTGTTTTCCAGAGTGGCTGCACCAACTTGCATTCCCACCAACAGTGTAGAGGGTTCCCCTTTCTCCACATCCTTGCCAACATTTGTTGTCTCCTGTTTTGTTAATTTTTTTGGCAGGACTTCCTTGGGAATCTGGAAGCTCCCTCTTCAGCTCCAGTGTTTGAGTGTCTGTGTGAGACACCGGGGTCCAGGGAAGGGAGCGTTACCATTTTATATGTGTGAAGAAGGGCTCCCTCCACTGCAGAGCTGGGCCCTTTTCTCACCTCTCCCCCGCTTTTCTAAAGATTTTATTTATTTGGCAGAGAGACACAGCGAGAGAGGGAACACAAGCAGGGGGAGTGGGTGAGGGAGAAGCAGGCTTCCCGCTGAGCGGGGAGCCCGATGCGGGGCTCGATCCCAGGACGCTGGGACCATGACCCTAGCTGAAGGGTAGGGTAGGTAGGTAGGTAGACGCTTAACGACTGAGCCACCCGGGCGCCCCTAACCCCTCCCTTCCGTCTTTGGACCTCAGACACTGGATGATTCAGTCCTCGCTTCATGGTGCACACTCAGCTCTGATGTGAATTTTTAGAAGCCACTTTGTGTAGGAAACCCCCATGGACCCTACGTGATATCGGACACACTGACGTGACTGCCTGCACTCTCTTCCTCCATCCCGTCCCCCTGCCTCCCCAGCCTGAAGCAAACGCCCTCCCAAATCTCCTGCTTCCTGTGGGCCACATACATACCCCAAGAAATACAGTGTTTAATTTTCGTGGGTTTTAACTTTATGAAAAGCTAATTCTGTGGTTAGCAATCTTCTGGAACTTGTATTCATTCCCAATTAGATTTCCATCTCCCTCCATCACAGACTGTTGTAGGTCATTCATTGCCTCTGCTGTGTAATATCCACTCCGTGAAGAGACCCCTGTTTACTGGTTCTCGTAATGGCCCCAGTGAGAACTGCTGAAACCCCAGTAAAGCCAGGTGCTGGCTGGTTGCTGCATACTGAGTCACCTAAGTGCCCAAAGGCAGTGTTTCCGTCAGCGGTAGAGAGGACTGCCGCCCCGGGCTGATTTGTGCCAGGGGCCGTCCTGCAGCAGAGCGGGGCTCAGACATAACCAGGGGCGTGGGGTGTCGGGGTGGGAAGGACAAAGACAGAGGTACCTACTGAAGATAATTTCACATCGCTTTGTTCATCTGGAACTCTGTGAAAGCAAGATTTTAATACTGTAAAATGAATATCTAATAGTAGAATTAATGTTTATGGTTTGTGCCTTTAAACTTAGCCGTGAAATTTAGATTTTAGCAAGGGTGAAAAAGAATTTTCATGTTTTGGGGATCCACCTTTGTAATGTTTACTTCCCCGATCACGAGAAGTAAGCGCAGGATTTAAAACCAAGCCGGAGCAAGAGAGAGGGTTTCTTGTCCATGTGTCGTGTGGGACACTAGGTGGGGACATTTGCTCACCTTCTGGACTGAACACTGGGGAAGGCACAGAAAAGCCTCCGCGCCTCTCCTTTCCTCCTCTACTGTTTGTCACCCTTGCTGGTCAGTGTGGGGTCCGACCTGTCCCCTAGCTGGGCCACCTCGACAGTCGTATCTGCTGTGGGCTGTGGACTCTGAGGCCAGACTGTCCGGGAAGGTCTCCTCTGGTTCACATGTGTGTGTTGCGGGGAGGGTTGGGGGAAGGGTGAGCGGGAGGTGTCAGAAGTGAGGGTGTCGGCTCTGCCGTGGCCTACCCCCCCACTCCTGCCCCCAGTGCAGACAGCCCTGGGGCGGCCAGGCGCAGATGGGGAGAAGCCCCTGTGTGCCCCCGTTGGCCGGGGGAGCTTGGAGGTACCCCAAGACAAAGCTGTGACTTGGAGGTGACGAGGTGACAGTTTTGGTGTAGTTTGGCATCTTAGCATTCATCTGTATGCAGTTGTTCCCTGCAGGGCGGGGCGGGGAGGGGCAGAGGGAGAGGGAAAGAATCTCAAGCCGACTTTCCGCTGAGCGCGGACGCGGGGCTCGATCTCACGACCCTGAGATCACAGCCCTGAGCTCATGACCCTGAGATTATGACCTGAGCCGAAATCAAGAGTCAGACGCTGAACTGACTGAGCCACCCAGGTGCCCCTATCTTTATGCTTTTTAAAAAACCTTCAAAAAAGGAGGAAATGGAGAAGTGAAACACAGGATGAGTAATTTACAATGGATCACGACCCATCCCCTTCTCCACGTAGGATTTCTGTTACGTTGGAACCTAGCTGCTCTGTCAACACGATAGGCTCTATTTCTGCTTCCTTCATCCCCGGCCTCTGCATGGCCGGGGGCAGATGCATTCTCCGTGCTCTTAAATTTGTCTTCACAGTCACTGGTCAGATGAACCCAGCTTAAGGTCTCTACAAAGACTAGAATCTCTGCTTACATTTCAGAGTCGTCTGTATCCTCCCTCCCTCCCTCCCTTCCTTCCTTCCCAAATGTTTGTTGAGCACTGCTTGGTGCCGGGTCCTGTTCTGAGAGCTGAAGATTCGGGAGCGAACACGATAAGCTGGCGACCTGACCCCCTGGAGTCGACTGTCCGTCCGCTCTGTCCTGCCCTGGAGCACCGAGCACTGCTCTGCGTATGGTGTTGGGAGCTAGGAATGGGGCGAAGGGGCAGTGGGGCTGCCCTGGGCAGATCATGCTGTGCAGAGCCTTGCCTGGCCGAATGATAACATTTTAGGTTGTGACCTTTATCTTTACATCTCTGCAGCACCGGCAATGATCCTAAGCATTAAAGCCGTGGATCAAAATCCTCTGCTTTGTTTTTTAAGCACGAAGATCTTTTTTATTACATAAAAAAACTGAGAAGGAAGTCCCCCATCCCCTCACCCCCCCCACTGACTGAGAAATTCCATGATGACAAACCACCAGCCCAACTCTGTGAGGCTCTGAGAAGCACTGGACTCTGTTCATCACAAGCACATGTCCCTGTGTGCAGGGGCAAATGCGCACGTGTGCAACACAGTCTTCCGTCCAAACACATTGCTTATGAACGGGCCTCACGTCTAGAGTTCTCATCATGGGCTGGAACATTTGGAGCCTTTGTCTGTGTTCTCCTTAATCCTCCCAGGGCCCCTCTGATTTAGGGCCTGTTCTGGGAACCTCACTGCGGCTCAAGTGACTCAGATTAGAAGTGGTTGAGCAGGATTTGAATGCAGACCCTGAGTGGGTGGGGAGAGGGCCCCTCGCTAGAGAAGCTGTAGCCCCAGGTGTGTGCCGCCCACAGGTTGGGACACCGAATGAGACATTTCCTGTCTCAGAGAATAACAACTCCTAAGGATGATCCTTAATATCATGTGCTATCCGAAAATGGTTCTTACCCTGAAAAGCTCTCAATGTCAGCCTCCTAACGGCCCTCATGTTGGCATTCATAGAGCCCCCTGCAAGCACAGCTGTGCTTCCATCCCATCCCAGTGCCTGGGGGCCCAGTGGTAGAGGCAGTGTCCCGGCCCGCTCCCCGCCTGCTTTCCATTCAGCTCCCCCAGCTAGGCCTCTAAGCCCATTCTGGGGTGCCATGAACATTCCGTTTACGCTGTGGCCACGGAAAAGATACAGCCACCCCCCGTGGGTGGGAGCCTCAAGCCACACACTTGCTTGGTAGCTGCCCCCTGAAGTGGGAAGTCTGCCCTTGGGCCCCCAGCACCAGTCACCCCACTGCTGAGTGTCCCACCCCCCGGGAGAAGAGAGTTGGGGTGCACTCCGCCCCCATGTCTCCGCTGGCCTGGTCGCTGCTTACACGTGGGGGCCCTGCATCCTCCCCTGGATGGTGACACTGGAACGAACTGGCTTCTCTGGAGGACTGCGTCCCAGCCAGGTGGGGGATACCTGTCTCCCACCCTCCCCTGCCACGAGTCCACAAACAGAACCGCGTTTTAGATGAGAAAAGACCTGGGAGGGTGAGGAAGTAGGTGCAAAGGACCTCCGGCTTTTTAAAAGTGGACTTTGGGGGGCGCCTGGGTGGCTCAGTCGGTTGGGTGACTGCCTTCAGCTCAGGTCATGATCTCGGGGTCCTGGGATCAAGCCCTGCATCGGGCTCCCTGCTCGGTGGGGGGCCTGCTTCTCCCTCTCCCACTCCCTCTGTTGCTCCCCCTACTTGTGCTCTCTCGCTCTCTGTCAAATAAATAAAAATAAAATACTTTATAAAAAACAAAAAGTGGAATTTGGGGGTGGGACCCCTGCTTGCAATGCTGAGCTGTCCCTCCTGAGTGCCCTCAAACCACACCTCGGAGCCAGGCCCCCTCTTCTCTTGGACAAAAGGGTCCCCGCAAGATGTGCAGATTGTCACCTCCCGGCGAGCTGGAAGTGCACTGGGGGAGGTGTGAGCTGGCTCTGTGTGTCGTCACAAGGGCAGCTAAAATTCTGAAACAGATATCCCACAGAGCCGGAACCCTCGAGATGCTCAGGAAACAGTAGGTGTCTGCAGGCCTGTTTTCCTCTCACGTCTCCGCCTCAACCTCACACGCCGGCCCAGGCTGAGACGCTTGGCCAAGACCAAATGCAGCTTGGCAGCCCCACCTCCCAGGACAGCTTGTGTCCAGGAGGGCGGGTCGGGGCAGGAGGCTGGAGGAGGGGCACCTGCCCAGGAGGGTCTCCTGGCTGGCGAGCACGTGGCCTCCCTGCCGACAGCCCTTGGGAGCTGAGGAATCTGGGTCCAGGCGAACAGGCTTGTGGCGGCAAAGCCAAGCCAGTTGCTTTAGGAATCCTTTTGGATATACAAATTGCCGCACATCTCATCTCGTCGTCAGGAACGTTCGCCCTGGTAACGTCATCGGGCCTTTGCAGAAGGCAGTGACGCTGGGCTGCTTTGATGCATGTTTTCCTTAAATACCTCCGCCTTGGAAGCCTTTGCAGCTCCGTTTCGCAGACCTCATCTGCCTGCTGCTTACTGCGTGCCAGCCGCCTCCTTCCCCGGCTCCTTCCCGAGGCTCAGCAATGACTCTCTCCCGCTGTGACGGATGGAAAAGCAAAAGCTAACATAACTGCACGTCTCGGAAAAGTTTCAAGTGAGGAACGTGGATCATAAAACGTGCAGCTCTGTTTTCACCAAGTCCTCTCAAGGCCGGTGCTGAGAGGAAAGGGCGCGGGCGGTGACCCCGGAGAAAGCACCTGCTGGGCAGACAAGGCCGCTTCTCCCATCAGAGCATCATTTTGCCCCGGGGTTAGACTAACGCCAGAGCTGCACCATCCGCGCCGGCCTCGTGCCACGGCCACGGCCAGGGGTCCCGGGGAGTGTGGGAAAGGGTTTTCCAGATGAGCCGAGCCCCAGCTGTGGTGATGGGGGGAGCTCCGGGCTGATCAGGCAGCCCCCCCCCCCCGCCCCCCGGACAGGGCAGCTTGCCCTGAGAGGCAGCCCGGTGCTCTTCGTGGTGCTGGGGTGTGGCGGTCCTGTGGGCTTACCTCGGGCCAGCCACCCAGCCTCTCTGGGCCCCTGGACTTCGTTTTAGTCCTTTTCCGCCCTCTCCCTGCCGAGGCAGGAGGGGTTTTCCCCGATATGACTGTGAGAAGCTGGCCAAGCTCCTGGGAAAGCGCCCTGCCGGCAAATTTGGTGAGGGTGGGAGCAGGTCCATCACCAGTCGAGCCTCTGGAGGAGGCCCATAACCTGGCCACCACCCCGATTGGAGCCTTGGATGACCCAGCGAAACAGTGCCCAGACTCCCGACCCACAGACACGTCGGGATAGGAGACAGGGCTCCAGCCATTTGTGCGTCCCTAGGGGTGTCAGGTTTGTTCCCTGCACACTGTCACGGTCCCAGTCAAGCGGGTCTGGGTGTGACTCTCCCCACTTGGGAAGCTTTCCTCTGCTGGTCCCACCTGTGTTTTCCTTGCTTTTTCTCCTAAGTGCAGCCCCCTAAGTGTCAACAGCCTGCTCTCTGCAGGGGCAAAGGGTCCTGACTGGCAGCGTGAGCCCATGAATGAGGTGTAAGTGTTTCCACCGTGGCTGATTGTAAGCATGCAGGCTCTTGTGAGATCACCAGGGATTGGATGCAATCCTTCTGCCCTCCTGGCTCGGGGGGAGGGTCTGCATGCTCTGAGCATGTGCCTTGTAGGAGTGGGATGGCTTCTCCAGGGGCTGGCTTTCAGGCTGAAAGTCCAGGCGTCCGCCAGGGTAGGTGGGGTGACTGACCCAGACAGAGAGAAAGAGCATGAGCGAGATGCACAGTGTGCAGGGGAGAAAGGTCTGGTACTTTCTGGAACCGAGACAAGGCCTGGAGCAAGGCTAAGCCTGTGTGGAGCCTGCATGGAGGCTGATCGCAGGTGGGCATCAGGACAGCTCACGGGGCCGTCTGTCCTAGAGCCCCCCCCCATAGGTGGCACTTCTCGTTGGTGACTGATAGCTCCATCCTCGGGTGTGTCATGGCACTGAAGGGGCTGGGGACTTCTGGGCTGGCTTAGGGCCCAGCTTTAAGGAGACTGACGCTTCCTCATTCCCATTTTAATATAAAATAAAACCTGTAGATTAAAATTCTTTTCAGGCCTCCTGATCAAACCTTTCCTCTTTATTTCTTTGTTTATGGCAAGTGTAAATTCACCTAGTTCTTCATTTCGATTGAGAGCATACTGGCTGGAGAATTTCTGTAAAATATACTCAAGCGCTGATTCTGCTGGTGTCTTATGCTTTCACTGTAGCGATTCCAGGTAGTAATTGTTTCCCGCCCCGGTTTGTGGTGTTTCCAGTCATTGAACAGTTCGATGAAGCACCTGTGCGAGATCCTCACCGCGGACCCCGAGGGCGGGCCTGCCCGCATCCCGTTTGAGACGTTCTCCTACGTCTACCGTTACTTGTCCACGATGGACTCGGACATCCCTGAAGTGGACACGGAATCCTATCTCGCCACTTTAAAGGACACTGTGTAAGTATGAGCCCTCCCTGGAATTCCAGTGCCCGGACCGCTAGAGAAGGTCCTTTCTCTCTCTCCTCTCAGGTACCTTTGCTCCAGGGAATCCGGCCTTTGCCAGGAGGGCGAGCAACACACATTGCGCTCCAGATGTCCCCAAGATGTCCCCAAGCCGTGCTAAAGAAAGCTGAACCTCAGGAGGCAGCTTTTCTTCACGCGTGATTCAGGGCAGTGCTGGACTGGAAGTCGGGTCCTCTTTATCCCGTCTCTAAGAAAAGTTCATCCAGAATTGATCTTGATTCTTCAGTCCAGTGTGTCCAGTGGTTTAAAATCACGGCATGTCGAAGAGTAAGATAGAAGGCGCATCTCGAGAGCCCCGCAGGTGGGGGGTGTGATGTCACGCCTCTGCTCCTTGAGTGTTTATCGGTGCGACTCCTGTGCCCCGCCCTGCTCTTGCTGAGAGCGGACGGACACCGGACTCTCAGACCCCGCCAGCAGGCAGGGTGGAGGGCCGTGAGAACGGGACGGCAGGCGGGGAGAGGCGGGGACACCGGGCTTGTCACCACCGCCAGACTCTGGTCCCTCCTGCCCTCCCGCACCGTCCGTGCCTGGGGCGCCAGGGCCAGCCCCCGGACTCCCTGCTGCCGCCTCGGCCGTCTCTCCTCCCTGCCCTCCCCCCGCCGGTCTTCCCTCTCTTCTGTGTGCCGTCCACTGACTTGCCCTCCTCCTCCCAGGGGACACTCTCTTCATGCCCCGACCCACCCAACAGCCACAGTTCTTGGGGACTCAACCCTCCCCTCTCCAATGTCCCTGCGGGCGCTCACCTTCCCCTCCTCTGCAGCCACGCTCAGCGGCCCCTTGCCCTGCGGCCCGGCTCCCCATTTCCAGGGCGCCACCCTTCTCTTTGCTGATTCCTCCAGTACCACCCCCAGCTGCCCACCAGTGGTGAGCCGTAGGACGGGACTGGCGTCACGCCCCCACCAGACCTGCCGCCCTCCCGCGTCTGACCTGGTCCCCAGCCCAGCTGAGCTGTGCCCCCACTGTGACAACAGAGAAGAGCTTAGAGAGGGAAGCAGGTGGTGGGTTCTGGTTGGAAGGACCCCCCTTCCCCCCGCCCCCCGAGGCATGAGACTTCTGCAAAGGTCTGGACAAAGAAGGGCGAGGCTGTAGGGCTGCCCCAGATTTGGGAGGCTAACTGGACATGAGGCGTGGGTGACAGGCTTCCAGGCCTGCCCCGAAGGGTGCTGCTGTCTCCCAGGATGTGACCTGTGGCGGGGAGGCCTCGTGAGCTGGGGGGCCTGTGGGGTGACCCTGGGGGGTGTCCAGTGAGTGCAGCCTGGGCCGGAGTCCCCCCAGGTGGTGCCGGCTGTGGCAGGGTGAGGAGGGCGCTGGCTGGCGGGGGCGCAGCTGGAGCTCCAGGCTTTGAGGAGGGGGTGAGCATGAGGAGGTGGAGGAGGAGGAGTGACCCTGGGACAGAGGGCACCAGGAAGGGGGCGCGGACACGGGTGGGCATTGCCCAGTGTGGCCCGCTGCAGAGCTGTCCCTTACATTGTGACCTTGGCAGTGGTGATTTCAGAGGAGTCGTGGGGGCAGGGGAGCCGACACAGTGCAGGCTCCAGCTCCCCCAGAGAACCCTGCAGACGGGGGCGGGGGGCGGGCGGCGGTGGGCCCCTTGAGGGAGGGGCTGAAGGTAAAGGAGAAACACACTCAGTTGCCGGGTGGTTGGGGGGTCAGGTGTATAACCTGGTGCCTTGTGCATCCCGACATGGACAGCCCCCTCAGAGCTCACAGGAAAAGCCTGAATGCACCTGGGTACCCCAGTAACCCATTTTGGAGCAGGGCACAGAGTTCGTGAGCTGGGCTTGTCTAAATCTTACAACTTCTGCTCATCCATTGAGAGCAAATCCATCCCAGCAGCAAGCGCCCGGAAGGCACACAGGATGGGGGCAGCGGAGCTTAGTGGGTGAGCGCTGTGGCCGGCTGGCCTGGGTCAGAGCACTCCTCTCCCCACCCGCTCCCCACCCACCTTTGTAGACGGGCTGACTCGGCCTTCTCTCTGCAGTGGGAGGGACTTCGGCCTATTCAGTAATCAATTCACTCAGTCATGCATTCGTGCATTCATTGCTCATTTCCAAGAGTGTTTCAGACCCATCCACGCGTCCCTAGTGGAAGGTGCTGGACACTCAGGTACTGATGAGCCGAGGGCATGCATGCAGGGTGACAGGCTGGGCTGGGCAGGCCGACCAGGGGCCCTGGCCGATAGGATGCCCTGGGGGCCGACCTGGAGGTGGCTTTGCAAGGACCAAGCCTGGGAGGCTTGGGAAGCCCCTGGAAGGTTGAAGTGGCCCCTTCCTGTTTCCAGAAGGATCTGGCATGGTGCGTTCATGGCGAGATTTGTTCTGTAGCCATTAGCTGGTACCCGGGGTGAAGAATCAGTTCACAAGGGAAGTCCAAAGAAGATCCCACTTGGTGTTTCTCTTCCATCACTTGGTTAGTGGCTCTTCCTTAACTGGGGAGATACACAGCAGCTGAGCCTCCATTTGCTGTTAGCACAGCTAAGGCAGCAAGCCCACTTTCTCCGGCAGCCTGACGAGAGCTGTCGGGGCCACCGCGGCGGGAAATCCTCACGCCCAGGAGAGCAAGGGGTCAGGGTGACAGGCACCGTCCTCCAGCATTTTGTTCTTCACCTCTAAGCAGCCACAGCAAGAAGCTTGGACACCTGTGATTCCCCTGGGGCTGTGAGAGATGGTTGCTGTTTATGGTAAAATGTGGTTTAGGACCGCTAACTGATGTTTCCCTTTACCTTGAAAATACGAGCCCTCGAGATGGTTCTCCTTTCCCCCACTGACATAGAGAATGAATATTGTTCAGTATTTTTACATCCACGGTTGTTGGCAGCAGAAATGTGCTAATGCTCACCATCTCTTAAGAAATAGAAGTATCTATAGATAAAAGAAGAAAAATCGAGGGACATGCTATTGGCAATGCCAAAGTTTCATAGACCCAAGACCTTTGAGTTTCACTGGACCAACTTTTCCAATAGAAGGATACTTTTGTTTCAGTAGTGACTAAAATTTGAGTGACCAATAAAGAAGAACGTATAGTACTGATTTTTTCATGTAGAAATAAATGCCCATTTTTGTACAAGAAAATATAATGCTTTAGTTTTAGAGGTAAGAATTACTGATTAGAGATCGGAAATCATCTATTTTTCTAAGTAAAACCTTTAAATTAGATGGCATTTCATAAGAATTGTGTTGTGTGCTGTGAGAAATGACTAATAAGTGCCTTTATCTGTTTTTCAATCTAGAGAATCTAGAAAGAATGGCATGATAGGACTTTCAGATTTCTTCGTTCTGACGAGGAAAGTTTAGAAAACCTCGAGAAGAAAACTCAGAAGACAGAGGCCATTATTACAGAGAAGAACACTTTTTAATATCAAATAGTGCTTTTTAAAACCTTGGCACCAAATACAGCTTGTCTTTAACCATATAGGTGTGTTATGTGAGTTTTTCTCATAGTGGAAGCCCAGTGTGGTCAGTGTGTCCTGGGATCTACTTAATAATTGCTCTTCACCCTGTCTCCCGGCAGACCCTCACATGGAAAAGATTCGTGGCAAGAAAATCTTTTTGAGTAAAACAATCTATTTGGATGCTACAGGGGGGCGGGGGGAATGGGCAGTGTAAAACTGGCTGTTCTTTCTCCTCCTTGGAAACTCCTGACCAGCAGGAATGCTGATGTTTGCTCCCCGGACAACCACACCTAAGACCCCCTAGGAAGAGTGTCTTCTGCTGAAGCTGGATCTGTTCTGGGAACGGTGAGCCTGGGAGCACCTGCTAGCTGGTGGAGCATCATGGCCCCAGGAAACAAAGTAGACTTTTTAAGATTTTATTTATTTATTTGAGAGAGAGGGAGCAGGGGGAAGAGCGTAGGCAGAGGGAGAGAGAATCTCAAGCAGGCTTCATGCTCAGCACGGAGCCTGATGTGGGGCTTGACCCCACAACCGTGAGATCACGACCTCTGCCGAAGTCAAAGGTCGGGCGCTGAACCGACTCAGCCACTCAGGCGCCCCCAAAGTAGACAATTTGGACCAGCACTTGGTCCACAGAACAGAAACGAGCATCCCAGATCCTTTATTTGCTTTCTTTATATAAAGTCTTCAAAATGAAGTGGCAATTAATACACCTTAGATCATTTTTTGGAGAACTTAAAAATGGTTTGGCTTGTTGGTTCTCTATAGATTGGTCACCATGCTAATTAAAGTTATCCGTGTTCAAAGACTTGTGAAAACCCAAAGTTTGGGGGAAGAATTTGCTTCAGGGAGGAGAGAGCCCCCTCCTGTGTAATCACTACCTGAGAGCCAGGGACACTGCCTCGCCTGGTTCTTTCCCAGGGGACCCTCTGCCTGGCCCAGCTGGAAGGCCAGCCATAGATGTCACTGAGTCAGCCCTGGAGAGAGCTTATCATGCAGCGTGTCCATCCAGGGGACCAAGGACCTGATGACTTTGGGGCCTGCTTGCTAACAAGTGTCTGTGCATTTGGTAGAATTTGGGGTGAGCCATGCTTTACATTTTAGTGATCTTGTTGGGAGGTTATAGGGGAGGGACATAGAGCCCCTGCGTCCTGTCATCACTGGAGGCCACTGACATTTACCAGAAGAACTTCATCTAATTGCTAACTGGTCACACTGGCTTAGGTCAAGGAGGTAAACGCGGACGGAGTTTTATGAGATTGAGAATAGGTGAATATGATCATAAATAAATTTGCTAACGTGAACATCTGAACTAAAAAATGTAAATCGGGATACTTTTTCACTCTATCAAAAACTCATAGAGGGGCGGAGCAAGACGGCGGAGGAGGAGGAGACCTGGATTTAGTCTGGTCTCAGGAATTCAGCTGAATAGGGATCCAACCATTCTGAACACCTACCAACTCAACAGGAGATCGAAGATAAGAATAGTAACAACTCTCTGAACAGAAAAGCGACCACTTACTGGAAGGTAGGACGTGCGGAGAAGTGAATCCGAGGCGATATTCGGGAGGATACACGGCGGGGGAGGGGGCCTCCGTGGGCCGCTTC